AACTGCCTCTGGAGGGTGCGGTCTGCAAGTATAAATACCCCCTCCCCCCCCCCCCTCATTTTTTCACACCACAACCCATTCTTCACTCTCTCTCTAAAATTAGCTCTCTATCCATCCACCTCCCCTCCTAAAAGCCTAGGAAATAGTGGTATGTTGGTTGCGGCTAAGTCCGACCTGCCATCAGAAAACTTTTCTTTGGTTTTTCCTTCAAAACCCGCCGAGTCTCTGTCCGACTTTCGCGAAAAAATAGACGAGTGGTTCCAAGAAGAGGGAGTTTATTATGATGAATTTCAAGCGGTACGTACTCATTTTACCAAATTTTTGTTGTTGTTATAACATTTTTAATTAATCTATGTACTAACCTTGTTGTTATTCTCTCTTAGGTTGGGGACGACGTGAATATATACAACCAACGGTATTATGTTGATCAAGGACCTATTGATCCAACCGACTGGTACGACCAAACCAACCATTGTTCAAGAGATGTTTGGAACGATCACGAGGTACATACAATTCTTCATCATATTTCTTTCTTTTATTTTGCTAATGTACTTAGTGGAATGTAAAATAAATTTGATCATTTTTAATCGTATTGGTTGTTTTCAATAATTTAATCGAATACATAGCGCCACTTACTTCGACTCTTTATAAAGATATGCATGTCTAAGGAAATGAGATTTTAAGCGATTATCATGATCCTCTCATTCCCTGGGAAAATCGGGTTTTAAGCGATCCTCTGATCCCCCATTTTTCTATAAAAAATGTTGTGTTTCTAAGAAGATGTATACCTCTTCTAAGAGTCTAACGAATTTTGCATTGTATTCGATTAAATTATTTAAAACAACCAATACAATTAAATTATTTACCAAACAACCAATACGATTTATGTGTATGTGTAGAAAATGAATTTTATTAATTTCAAATATTTGAATATGAATGTATCTCTTTAAATTATTATTCATTTAGAATGTTATTTATGTTAATTATTGAGTATGTTTGTTTTATGAAATTATGTATATATCTTGGGAAAAACCATCAATTATTTAAATTTGTTTGTTACATCATTTATTTAATTAAGTTAGTTATAAGAAAAAACTGTTACTAATATTTCATAAATAACGTTAAAATTTTCGCTAGTAGGCACAACAAATACTCCGCTACAGGGGTACGACCAATGTGCTCCCATGGAACGACGTTATCTTGCCCTTTCTCAAAAGGGCACGGTTGGAGTCGATTAGGCATTTAGTAGGCATAAAAGTCGATCTCAACTCGTCACCGCATTGGTGGAGAGATGGCGAAAGGAGACACATTGTTTCAACTTTCGCGAAGGAGAGTGCACCATCACGCTAAAGGACGTCGCCATCCTAACCGATCTGCCCATCGACGACAAAGCGGTGTGTGTGTGAGTGATCATCCCCCCCCCCCCCCCCCCCCCCGAGGATGTTGACGGTATGACCCGTTGGTAGCATTTCATCTACAGTGTTTTGGGGGTGAAAGTACCAATCAAGTGGAGCGTTGATGCGACGGATCGCATGCCACCATTGAGGAAACACCAAGTATCAATCACTTGGTTGACGAAGTATTTTAGGGACCTTCACGATCCTGCAAAAAATGGGGTTCCCCTCACCGAGGAAAGTCCAGAGGAAGTGAAGGAAAGATATGCTCGTGTCTATCTCATAGGCATGATCGGAGGAGTGTTTGTCTCCAAGAAGTCCAGCAATTTAATTAGCTGTGGATGGCTTAGGATCCTCCTTGGTAGTTGGGATGAGGTGGGGGAGTTTAGCTGGGCATCCGCTTGCCTAGCTAATATCTACCACCATTTGTGCAATGCATCTCTCAAAGCTGTGAGGGAGGTTGGCGGGGCAATGTTCATCGTCCAATTTTGGGCTTGGGAGCATCTGCCATGGATTGCACCGCTCAAACATCCCGACCTCAATTGGGGTCCCGATCATCCCCTAAGACTCGAAGCTTGTGGTTTTAGGTAAACTTCTCATACCCAATCATGATTTTCATAACAAAATTTCGTTTGTGTTTTAGCTTATTATAGTTTCATTATCGTCTTATTAATAAGGTGGGTTGGAGCCTCAACATGCGACAACCTTTCCGAACACAAGTTGGCAAAGTATCGGAAGAGGCTAGAGCGACTTTGGGAAGGAGAGGTAACTAGAATACTTGGAAGTGTTATAATTTTTTTTCATGGAGTACATGTATTTTTTCAATTTTGTTTAACTTAAATTACTCATTTCTTTTTGTAGATCATCTACGATCCATACCCGCCGAACATCATTCATTGGCATTGCCAGCAATTCCCTGGTCATATCGGTCAATGGTTAATAATATAACCATAACGACTTGTAATGTCAGCGATTATGACTTTCACCTTCAGGTCAGGATCTTGCTCAATTAGATGCTTGATAGCCGCGGCAACTAGCCTGGATTTCAATTGTCGATGGCCTTGGGATGTTATGGATGACACACATGTGTGTGTGTTCACCGCACGGGATATGACTCAATGGTCGTGTCTCTTGCTGTTGATGGCCCGAATCCTAACATTGCATCCCTTGTGTTGATTACGACATCTGATTATGAGCCTTTTCGTGTTGGAATGAGTTGTGTGCCATTCAAAATGCTGAGTCATTGCTTCAGTATCAATGGCGTGCCGCACTTCCTTCTTCGAGCCAAATTGTTGGCCCTTCATAAACCTAGTGATTGGATCCCATACTGGGACCTCTGGCGGCTCCATGTCGTTGTCGACACACCAATTGTCGTCTGGAATGTGATTATAGTAGGGGACTGGTACACGGTCACGAGCCACCTCATCATCATTATCTGACTCTGACTCTGGTCCTGAATCATCAGCACCTTCTAGAGGGTCGGAGCTGTCAGCACTGACGTTGTTCTCTCCTTCTTCATCGGAGGAGTCACTAACTGGTGCTGGCAGGGCATCTTCCATCTGATCCAGATCATGAAAGGCACCTTCATTAGCTCCATAATGGTAGTTGTGAAAACTACCGCTGCCTGATTGGAAGTTGTACTCGGGTTGGTTGGCATGGTCCGTTTGAACTTCTTCTTCATATGATGGGAAAGATTGATGATGACCTTCACCTTGCTCTTGGTACTGAAAATAGGAATGAGGATCATGGTAACTTTGGTACGGATGATCTCCATATAATTCACCTCCACCATGGATACCAGATGTTTGACCGTCTCCAGAATGACCTCCGACTCCTACGACCGTCTCGGTGTAAACGAACATCTCGGTTTTGGAAAGATTATTGGACCACAAGAATTCGAGCATGACATCTACTTCATCCTGAGTGGTTATGAGATATTCCTCATGCCACAATGACCCGCCTTCTCTGTTTGGATATCGGTACACCATACGATCAACTCTCCTCGTGCCATCCATGCAAGTAACGTTAGTACACATTTGATAGAGGTCTTCAAGCATCGGTCTGGTAGCGACCTTTATTTTCTGAAAATTGACATCGACATAGGTGACCCCCTTTCCGGTCTCTTCCGTGTAACCATTCCACCGTAACCCAAGCGTGAACTTTTGGAATGCCATCTGCAAAAAAACTGTAGTTTAGTTAATATCATAAAAATCACAAATCATAATAAAAAGTAATACAAAATAAACTTACGAGTTAACGTTAACCGCAAAAACAATAAAGAAGTAGGGAGCTACAACAGAAAATTGAAAAGGGAGAAGGAGAGGTGTGAAGAGAAGAGGTTTCCCGGGGCTGCCTTTTATAGGCAAAATCATCAATGAAAACCGCATGGGGAGGGTGTGGTTTTCATCTGCCATGCAACCCCAGTCTGTCAACCTGCATGGCAACATGGTGGATGTCGGGAAAAAGGGGACGACAACCAAACCGCATAGGGGGGGGGGTGCGGTTTGTGTGTCTGCAAGGGCAAAAACGCATGTTGAGGGTGCGGTTTGTGTTGGAGACACAGAACCGCATCCTCAGCGTGCGGTTTTGCTAGGTCAGCCAAAGAAACGCATCTAGGCCATGCGGTTCTGTTAGGTCAGACACAAAACCGCATGGCCAAGATGCGGTTTTGGCCCAGAACCTTAAAACGTTCTCTCAGGATGCGGTTTACATATAAAACGCACATTTGACGAGCGGTTCACATGTGAACCGCATCTTGGAGGTGCGGTTTGAAAATAAGGGTGATATTTTTGTAATTTCTATGGGTTGGGTGCTATTTTGTAAAAAAAAATTAATGGTGCTATTTCTAAAAAAAACCCGCAGAAAGTGTTTGTGATTGGTTTTAGTGCAAGAGTAAAAGTGAGTTCTTGTTTGGAATTACAGTAGGTTCTTGCTCTCATCTAAGCTAAACTAAAGAGAGTTAGCTTGATTGTGAGAGAGCAAGGAGGGGTTCTTAGCTTTTAATTAAGAAAAGCTTTGAATTCGGTGTAAGTATCCCGTCTATACGATTCTTGACTTAAATCGAGTCCTTGTTTGATTCTTAATCTATTGGTAGAGGTTGTGGCTTGTTGTTATTAATACAAATATATATGTAAATAACCTAGAGGTCGTTTGGATAGATTATCTAATCCATTGGGCCAGGAGGCCATCAGAAAGATAGGTCTTCACTCATAAACTCCAGCCCACCATTAACGCTAAAAGCAACCCGACCCGATTCTCTCGCCCTGCGTAAACAGCCTTCCCACCAGCAGCCAGTGCAGCCACAATGTGAAAAGCCGAAAGCTACCCTTCACTTTCACGGTTTCACCATCCCCCTTTTCCTTGGGTCCCCGACCCGGCCCACCCTTTCACTCTCATCTTTTCCTAGACAAAACAAGATAAAAGAAAAGAAACACATGAAAATGAGTTACCGGTATAATAAATTCTACTTAACGATAATTAATCCCACTTAATTAGGACATAAATAAATAAATCAGTATCACATCATTTCCCGCAAATAAATACAAGCATATGCAAACAAAAAGGACAATCTCATTTTTTTTTTTTACAACAAAATTTTAGTTACCACCATAATAAAAATAATGAATTTGGAGAGATTCCCCTTCTCCAATCCCTCCACTCCAGCTCCAGCTCCAGCTCCTGGTTTTTCATCGCTGTCACTTTCCCCCCTCTCTCCATTTTCTCAGCACATTTTCCTTCTCCCCAAACATCCCTTCCTCCCCCACTAGCTTCCACTTTTGTTCTCATTTCTTCATCCTTCCCGAGAACTTGTCTTCTCCCTCCTTGGATGCTTCTTCTTTCCCACTTCTCGATTCAAAACACTCCCCCCCTTTCTTTCTTCCCCTCTTTTGCCTCGCGATTCCAAAAATTCCCTCTCTCTATCCTCAAGCAAACTTCCCTTTTCTCGCCCTTCTTTTCAGTTCCTCCCTCTCCCGCTTGCCCTGTCTTTACTCGCGGCTAACGGCGGGAGTAATGATTTGAGCTCGAGGTGGGCTTTTCCGCGTTCAAAATTTGAGCTTGGTGAAGAGGGAAAAGGAAAGTGGTAGTTTGGAGCTTTTCCCCCATGGGGATTGGATTTAGGGTTAGGATTTAGTTAGTGGGTGATTTTGGATTCTTTTCTGGATTGGGGAGAGAGGTGAAAGCGAAAGAGTAGAGAGAGAGAGACAGTGCGAGGGACGGAATTATGCCATTGGAGGTTGAAGATGGAGGAGGAGTTCAGTACTCTTTTGCTCTCGAATACGACGGTCCTCCGGTGCTGTACGATCTACCTCAAGCTGTCCCGATCAACGTCAGCGAAATCCCTGTCGCCGCCGTCGTCTCGCCGCTCGCTCTCCCTGGTAGGTTTCCTTTGCCTGTTGTCAAGCCGCTGTTGGCCGCCAGCGAGGATCCGAGCAAGGTTCTGGGGACGAAGGAGCTCAAATCTGTGTCCGTGTCACTGTCACCGACTTCCGTTATTGGTAATTTGAACGGGGAGGAGTCGAGGTCGGATGAGACGGCGTCCACGGTTTCTCCGACTTCGGTAATCGAGAGGGCAGCGGAGAATAATCCGGAGTCCGGCGAGTTGAGTAGCTCCGGCGGGTTGGAGTTCTCGACTGGGCGGTGCGGACCCAGCAGCTCCGGCGCCATTGAGTTCTCCGACAGCTTCGGTAACAAGTCGCGGGAGAGTTTGGCGACGGTTAGGGTTTCGGAGGAATTGAATCAAGAGTGGGAATCGAATGAGTCGGTTCTCAGCATCGAGTACCCTTCTTCCAGGGTTTCCAGTGTCAAAGCAGCTTCTGGGGAGTGTCACAGCGAGTTGATTAACGGTCATGGAGATGTCAGAAGAGCCCAAGTTGTCAAATTTGCTAATGTTGATTCGGATGGAGACGACCTTGGAGATGGCGAAGTTGACGACGTAGAGTACTGTGAAGAAGAACAGCCCAGGATTGTGCAAGTTAAGAGAGAGCCTCAGAGCAAAGGGAAGAAGGGAACTTGTTATAGATGCTTTAAGGGGAATAGATTTACAGATAAGGAGGTCTGTCTTGTTTGTGATGCCAAGTATTGCAATATTTGCGTGCTTAGAGCTATGGGATCCATGCCTGAAGGAAGAAAGTGTCTTAGTTGTATCGGGTACCCTATCGATGAATCCAATAGGGCTAATCTAGGGAAATGTTCAAGAATGCTCAAAAAGTTGCTGAATGATTTGGAGGTTCGCCAAATAATGAAGGCGGAGAAGTTCTGTGAGGCAAATCAGTTACCTCCAGAGTATATCTGCGTGAATGGGATGCCTCTTTGTCACGAGGAGTTGGTCCTTCTTCAGACTTGTGCTAACCCGCCAAAAAAGTTGAAACCGGGGAACTATTGGTATGATAAAGTATCCGGTCTTTGGGGAAAGGTAAACATGGTGTAGACTTTGGAAGATCATCATTTTATTTCTTAGTTAGCATTCCTTTACATAATGAGGGTTTAACAGATGCACTGATCGTGAAATTTACAGGAGGGACAAAAGCCTTGTCAAATCATTAGCGCTCATCTAAATGTGGGAGGTCCAATAGATACAAATGCCAGCAATGGAAACGCAAATGTTTACATTAATGGTCGGGAGATCACCAAAACCGAACTCAGAATGTTGCAGGTCAGAAGTTGGAATGTTCACCGTTCATTATTGGATTTGGAAGCGACTTGATATCCGTGATAGGTTATTGAAATGTCTATTAAAACATTGCAGTTGGCAGGAGTTCAATGTGCTGGCAACCCTCATTTCTGGGTGAATGAGGATGGGTCATATCAGGAAGAAGGTCAGAAGAACACTAAGGGCTATATTTGGGGCAAGGTATGGTTTGCTGCTGAAGTGGTTGTGCTTCAAATTATGCCTTCTATATATAATTTCATTGGTTGGTTTTGATTTATTTGGAAACTTGCTTTTCAGGGTGCAATGAAGCTTGTCTGTACATTCCTGTCATTGCCAGTTCCTTCGAAATCTTCTAATTTTTCCGAGGAGCAAGTGAATAGCCTACTGAGCAGAAGTATTCCTGATTATCTCGAGCAGCGGACACTTCTAAAGTTTCTCTTAGTTGGATGTAGTGGATCTGGAACAAGTACCATTTTCAAGCAGGTAGTGTAGCAAATTGTACCTTTCATTCACTATGTGCTGTAGGAGAGGGATCTTCTGGCTGTAGTGAGACAAGCTATTATCTAGGGAGAATTGGTGAGCTCTAAATATTTTGATAGAAGAGCAAAGTTGATCGAATGAAATGTCTTTTCAGGCGAAGATTCTTTACAAACCCATTCCTTTCACCGAGGATGAACGAGAAAATATTAAGTTGACCATCCAAAGCAATGTGTATGGTTATCTTGGTATTCTCCTTGAAGGCCGTGACCGTTTTGAAGAGGAGACTTCGTCTGAAGCAAAGAAAGAACAATTGTCAAATCAAACCGATTCCACTGGTAAGCTTTACATTTCTTTGTATTTGTCACATGTGGCAGTAAAATAAATTATCAACAAGTAAGCTGAACGATATTGTTGGCTGATAACAGGTGATGGTAGCAGTAATAGCTCCAAGACTGTATACACTATTGGGCCGAGGCTAAAATCATTTTCAGATTGGCTTTTAAAGACCATGGTGTCAGGAAACCTGGAAGCAATTTTCCCTGCTGCCACTCGAGAATATGCACCGTTGGTTGAAGAGTTGTGGAGAGATTCAGCGATTCAAGCAACATACAAGCGAAGAAGTGAACTGGAAATGCTGCCTAAAGTAGCTAGCTATTTCTTAGAGCGGGTAATGATAGCAGTTCAATGGTTCTTTTAGATGGTTAAGAATTTAGTTTTAAATTTGATTGGTCTGGTATGCTTTCCTTCCTCAGCATCCCATGTGTAGATTAACTCTAAAAGTTTATACTTGTGAAAGGGAAGTTTTATAGGATAATCTCTCTTCGGTTTGTTTATGCTAAAATCCCTGTTTCGTTTTTTTTTTTTTTTTGTACAGGCAGTTGAGATATTAGTACCAGACTATGAACCCTCAGATTTGGACATCCTCTATGCTGAGGGTGTTACTTCATCTAATGGTTTGGCTTCTCTAGACTTCTCATTTCCTCAGTCAACATATGATGACCATGACGAGCAGCTTGATTCTCTGCTTAGGTGAGTTTGATACCTGAAAGCACAAAGTCTTTGCTTTGAATCTTGGAGTACTTGCTGGTTGTTTGGATTTTAGATTTTAAAAGTGATGTAGCACACACTCGTGAATTTTCAATCCACACTTATGAGTTGCGAAGTTTGGTGTTTGAATGCTGGATTAGATGATTGATTGCTTGAAATGGATTGATTGAGACTTCAAAAGATAAGTTGACCTCAATACCTCTGTAATACTTATCACTCATGAATCTAAAAAATGAAGACTGGAAAATAGACTTTAGGAGGGATGAATGCCAGGACCCCACAGTGTAAATGTTTTTAAGTTCAAGGGACCATGGATTTGGTGCCCTCGTGAATTGATAAGTTTTTGGAGTTGATATATGTTTGTTCCACCAAATTAGGGGTTTGAGCAGAACCATCTTTGATTTGGTGCTCAAATTGATCACCCAAGCCAACTCCAAATGTGAAATGACTACTTGATCAGTACTGGATATCGTGCTAGGCTGAATTGAACCGAGTCGTTATTTGGACAGAATCGCATGATAAACGGACCGAATCAGACGAATAGTGTTTTTTATTTGACTCGATTCGTCATTTCTCTTTATTTGTATCCAGTCCTATGCTGGTTCAATCTGATTATGGAACGTACCAGTGTACACCCTTAGTATTGGAAGTCTCTGTTTCTTACTATCGTTTGCTTATTCCTTAGCTGATTAACCTTCTTTGTTTGTCCAGATACCAACTGATCAGGCTTCAACCACGAGGAATCGCTGAAAACTGCAAGTGGCTAGAGATGTTTGAAGACATTGGGATGATCATCTTCTGTGTCTCCTTGAGCGACTATGACCAGGTCTCTTTTGATATCAACGGTTCTCCCACCAACAAGATGATGCAGAGCCGAAAGTTCTTTGAGACCATCGTGACACATCCGACATTTGAGCAGATGGACGTCCTTTTGCTACTAAACAAGTTCGACGTGTTTGAGGAGAAAATGGAGCGGGTTCCGCTGACGAAATGTGAGTGGTTTGACGATTTCCATCCCATCATAAGCCACCATCGTTCGACCAGCAACACCCGCAGCAGCAGCAACATCAACCACAGCCCTTCGCTCGGCCAGCTGGGTTTCCACTACGTTGCTGTGAAGTTCAAGCGGCTTTATGCATCGCTCACTGGTCGAAAGTTGTTTGTCTCGATGGTCAAAGCTTTGGAGCCCGATAGCGTGGACTCGTCCTTGAAGTATGCAAGGGAGATCATGAAGTGGGAAGAAGAGAGACCAAATTTCAGCTTGAGTGAGTATTCTATCTACAGCACCGAAGCGAGTTCATACTCTCCTTGATCGAGCATGTTTGGGAATTGCTCCACACTGTGTACATAAAATGGCCGTGTAAATGAAGCAAGTTAAAAGCCAGATATATGAATGTACAAGCTATCTCTTATTAGGTACCACAATACCATGCTTGTCTGTTTTATTTGTTTTGCCCTTGATAGATGATTACCAAAGACCTTCGTCACAGATTTGGAAGTGGAAAGCATTGAGAAGTGTTCGGTTTTTCGTGATTGTAGCGAGTTTCATCTTTTTGGCAGGATTCAGTTCATCTGTAATTGTAAACCCTTGAATCTTGATACAAGCTGAAAGTAGGTCTATTACATGCTCGTGATCTTGCTTCATCAGCTTTTTTATGGCGTAACAGTGAAACTATTTGGATGAGAACTAGGGTCCTGAGATTTGCTCGTAAAATGGATAGAGATTAGAGGAGTTCAGCCTTCTTTTGCAGATAACTGATGACGTTGTTGATGGAGACCGACTTCTATGGAGACCGACTTCTGCAGATGTAGATTGACTTCTGCAGATAATTAATATTTCACGATTGGTCACTCTCCGTTAATCTCCACTAACACCGTTAGTGGTTTGCTGATGTGGCAACCAGAAATGCTGATTCATCAACCCATGACCCGACCCAACTCTCTTCTTTCTCCTTCATCTCGCCTCACTTTGCATGACCTTTGTCCCTTCTTATCCCTATATTGCCGGCCACCAAATCCCAAATATCCCCCCAGGAACTTCAAGCTATGGCAGTGATTGTTGTTTATTCTAGATTCAGGCAAAAGATGGCGAAGGGAGGAAACAAGGTTGAATCTATCTCCGCTTCCCAACCTTCAGTGTTGCGTCCATCTTCCCAGTTCTTTTGTGGTCCCCGACCCCTCAACCTTCACTGCTGCATTGAGCTTCCCATTCTTTTCGTGGTCGTAAGCATCGGAGATAGAATACGGGTTTTGAATATGTAATAGGAGTGATGCCTAATTAGGGTCACCAGGGCTTCGATGTGGCTAGTCCTCTCAAAACGGAGGATTCCGTTGTTGACCCCCGACTTCTTCATCGATGCAATCAACCTTGAGGAAGAAGCAGGAGCTGTAATGTTACTTCGCCTCTCCGCCGTCGCCGTTTCTCGAGAAGAAAAGACCATGTCTGACTTCTTCACATATCTAGGAGGTGGTTTGGAATGCGGCGATCAAAACTGAATGCCCTCTCGGCTGGGATTTGGAAGATTGAAGCTCCTTCTTCCTTGTCCTTCTGGTCGCCGTCAACGGGGTTTCTAGATCTGGGAATCTAGATCTTCATTGTTGCAAAACTCATCATTCACTGCTGCTTTTGAAGGCCTGCCAGAGATGAGGTTGGCGCTAGTATTGTTGAATCTCGTTGCGATGATTGATGGCAACGGGGGATTAGAGGTTGATGGCGGTGGAGAAGAAGGGACCAGAGGTTGGGTCGGAATGGGGTTTTCATTTGGGCCAATAGAGTTTTAGGTCAAATGGGTTAATAAGAAGGGTCGGGTCATGAGTTGAGTTGGGTTGGGTTGGGGAATCTGACATGGAGGGTTAAATTGAGGTGGCGGGTAGAGTTTGATGACGTGGCAGGTCAAAATTGGACGAATCAGCATTTCTGGTTGCCACGTCACTGGAAGTGTTATAATATTCACGTTTGGTCACTAAAAGAAGTTTATTCCATTCTCGGTCACTGAAAAGGTTAACGTTTCACGATTGGTCACTCTCCGTTAGTCTTCACTAACGGTGTTAGTGAAGACTAACGGAGAGTGACCAATCGTGAAACGTTAACCTTTTCAGTGACCGAGAATGGAATAAACTTCTTTTAGTGACCAAACGTGAATATTATAACACTTCCAGTGACCAACCTTGCAATTTACCCTATATATATATAACAAATTGTCACAAAATTTCAGCTCATCTACATCTAACGGTGGGAATTTTGCTCAGATCGTGCTAAAGGTCTGCATATAAATTCGGCCCTCCGTCCTCAACTAACTCTGAAGTCTGAACACAAACGGAGAGAGAGAGAGAAAATGGCGTTGAGAGCAGCTTTGATTCGCCACCTTCGGGTTCCGGTCCAAACCCTATCCCCCGCCGGCCGAGTCTCTCAGCCGTCGGTGGCCAACAGCCTCTTCGGTTCCACCCGGTTCATGTCATCGCACGACGACCATCTCAGCAAGGAAGATGTCGTCGACCGAGTCCTCTCCGTCATCAAGTGCTTTCCTAAAGTCGACCCATCCAAGGTCCGTCTCTCCGTCGATTTACCTTTCTTTTCCCCCGATGTCTTCTTCTAGACTTCCGTAGATCCGTTCCTTATACTTACACCTTTTGTTATAGCATTTCGCTAGGATTCAGATTCTTTCATTTCTGCCTCTCTAGGGTTTATTGCTGTTTTAGAGGATGGTCATTTTTTAATGAAGTGATTAATTGTAAGTCTAGTCATATGCCGTTGTAGATCCGACCCGTGACGATCATCGAGATGACCTGAGGAAGTGAAGTGAATCTTCACTCTCTGATCGTTTAGATGTGGATGGGAAGGGGCTACTCAAGAGAGGTACCGTCCCTTAATCAGTGAGTCTATTGACCTTTAGTAGAGGGCATTAGGCAAATATCAAGACTTGGTTAGCAAATGTACTATGTTAAGAATATCCCCTGGCCTTTCTTGATATTATGTGCCTAGCTCATTGCCCTTGAGAGTATTCGGGCAAGGTTCGTGTCTTAATTGAAGCAAATTTACCCTGGAGGTTGCAAACATAGATGTGGAAGACCTAATTCGCACGAACTGTTGAATTTTGATACATAATTAGTGTGGTCCGGAAAGATGAATTGGTACAAACAACATTTTGATTCTCCCTAGATGAGAGATGTTTCAGACTCTATGCTGATGTCCATGGGACTTGAAAGTAGTTCTTAATTCACTGTCCCTTGGTGGATATCTTAAATTACTTTGCATTGTGTAGCTTTGCATTTGCTTTTCTCCTGCAACACTTGATTACTGATGTCAGAACTTCAGTTTGAATGTCACTGCCCATGTAGCTTTATTGATTGTATTGTTGGTTGAGAAGAGTTCTTATTATCTCCAGTCTTTTTAAGTTGTTTGGTTCTGCAATGCATGACACCCGCTGTTGATTATTTCCTAGGATTCACTGGATCATCGCTAGGATTCAAAATGTTTCATTTCTGCCTCTCTATGGTTTATAGCTGTTTTAGAGGCTGGTCATTTTTTAATGAAGTTATTAATTGTAGTCTAGTCATATGAGGATGTAGATCCGATCCATGATGATCGTCGAGATGACCTAAGGAAGTGACGTGAATCTTATAGTTTAGATGCGGGTGGGATGGGATTAATCAATAGAGATACCGGCCCTTAATCAGTGAGTCTATTGACCTTTAGTAGATGGCATTGGGCAAATATCAAGACTGAGTTAGCAGATGAACTGTGTTAAGAATATCTCCTGGCCTCTCTTGCTATTATGTGCCTAGCTCATCTCCCTTGAGAGTATTCTGGCAAGATCTTATGCTATTTAATCTTAAATGAAGCAACTTTACGTCTTGACCCTTGAGGTTGCCAGACATATGGTGAAGGCCTAATTCACACAGAACTGTTGAATTTCGATACATTTTCAGTGTGGTCCGGAAAGATGCACTGATTTTCTAACAGCATTTTGATTCTCGCATTATGTAGCTTTGCATTCGCTCCTGCAACACTCGATCATTAAAGTCAGAATGTCAGTTTTAATGTCACTGCCCATGTAGTGTTATTGATTGTATTGTTGGGGGACAAGAGTTCTTTTTATCAAGTTATTTGTTTCTGCTTGCATGAAACCCGCTGTTGATTTTTTCCTAGTATTGGATACACTTGATGACAGTAGTTTTATCTGCAATTGTTTGTGCATGCAGGTGACTCCTGATGTACATTTCCAGAGTGATCTAGGTTTGGACAGCTTGGACAATGTCGAGATTTTGATGGCTTTGGAAGAGGAATTCAAGCTGGAGATTCCAGACAAGGAAGCCGACAAGATCGATTCCTGCAAACTTGCTATTGAGTACATTCATAACCACCCAATGGCTAGTTGAAATTACACGAGGCTCTGTTCATGAGTTTTTTTTTTTTGGTTTTGTTGAGGTTCTTTTCCAGTGGACCTGTATCAGCTGTATTCATGTTGAGACTTTGCTGTTGCTGTGTTCCATTTTGAATTAGTTCTCCAAAAAAAATTGGTTGAGAGAATAATCTGAAACTGGTTTCTTCATAGGAGTAGAGCTTTGGGTTATTGATTTGCTGGGCCTGTGACTGTGTTACTGGTACACCCAAAGTTTTCTTTCATGCCGTTGATTTTGGTATCTTGAAACTCTTGTTTTCTTCTACCTTCCTCTTGTATGAATACTCTCCTCTCTCCGCCGTGGATAGCACAGCGCAGGCCGCAGGGCATACATAAATGAGAACTGATTTCAGCTTCAGCGATCTTCAAAATTGTGCCACTTCTGTTTCAAATCTACAATATGACTACTAAATCGCAATTTCAGACTGTTGAATGGCGGTTAAGAGGATCAAATGCATGACTGTACTCAGTTAGTCAGTTTCAGCACTGGGTGGATTCAACCACATATTCATCTGCAATTGTAAACCTTGATATAAGCTTTATGTAGGTCTATTTATAAGTTATAACCATCAACTTGCTTGCGGCATTAAATTTTCTACAGCTGAGCATCGAATCATTCGATTGGAACAAGGATCCTGAGAACTACTGTTACAATTGAAAGTGGTGGTTCACGCCATCTTTCTATACAAAGTACAACAGCTTCTGTAACCCTAGCTGTTCTACAAGTACATATATAACACAGCTTACAAGAAGAGATCCCCACCAAAATTCTCCCCAATTGTACAACAGAGAGACACCTTAAACTCTTCTCAAAGCTGAAACAGTGTTACTTGCTTTCCAGGTAGGCCTCCAATTACCTGTGATGGACCTGGGTTTGATTCCATACCTCCGAGGAAACAGTCTTCCATAGTAAAAGCAACAGAAAAGCAGACTACATACACTTTCCATCCAACTCTGGTTCCTCAGTTTTCCTTTATCGTCTATCCAGTCCTATATCAAGTCATTCGATTCAGGTCTGAAATGGACGAAACTCATCCCCATGTGAAAAACTTATGATCTTTTTCATGTATTGCTTCAGTCATCTATAAAACTGTACCTAGCTTGTTCCCCTGAGCTGAGCAATATGTTCTTGCGAGCCCACCCGAGTTCAGCCATCTGATCATCTAATAGATTCAAACTCCTCTCTGCTGCTACCTTAGTGTCATCCAATAGCTTACACCACTCCCTCACAACCAAGTCTGAAGGGGAGCTCTCTATAGCAGCAATCACCCACCTACTGCTCAAGAGCAGTGCTCTACGTATGTAGCATGCCTGAATTATAGTATCATGGTCATTACAAAGCATGATTAATAGAGGAACCTAGTTAGTAAATGAGTGCAAATTAAGGATGTTTTTTGTTGTTGTGTTGGGCTCAAAACAAAGGTTGCTTAAAAAATTATGCAATGCCACATCTCTATGTTTACCTGCAACAAACCTTTCGTCACATCAGCAGTGCCAGCTCCTTCACGTAGACAAAGGAAAAGACCAGGCTAAAAATTCGTCGTCACACAAAAGAGGAAAAGTGAGGCAAAAAGATATCATGGAAAAGTTTTCGTAATGACCAAGACACATTGGGGAAATGTTGAGTGATAGCATACTTGTCTGGTTTGTGGGAATAGCCCACCACGGATGTTCTCCACGCTAATGAAGTAATAGTCCTCACTTTTTAAAGACTGCATTGCCATCATTGAAAGTTTTGGTATCTGCTGATCAACGGTTAGGCTACCAATTCTAATGGGCCATGATTGCTTCCCTGAGTAAGGATACAAAACAGGCCACCACAAAAGCAGATTACATACTAATAGGCTGCACAACAGATGGAAAAAAAAACAGAGCGATTAAAAGGTGGTAAACGAAAATAAAAGACTCACTTCTGCTTCTGAAGATACCGACTCCTTCCTCTTTACTGACTTCTTCAGGTGAAGGCACACATCCTGATCTAATCCACGTATCTAGGATAATTTCAAGTCTATCCTGTACAATGTTTGAAGTGTAGATCTTAGGAAATTTTGCTCTGAACTAAATGGTATCATTCAAGTACCATTTATGTTTACGAGTAAGGTTCTTAAACTCTATGGCCAGTATCACAGGCAAAATACACAGTTCTAGCATAAACATACCTTAGTTAATGTCTGCAGATGGACATGCTTCAGCCCTTGATATATTCCAAAGACATCAACAGCAGCAAAAAATGGATAGACTAAAAAAGGCAGACTTGTAAGCAGTTTCGGGTTGTTCTTGAATGATAAGTTCAAGATTGCAGCAAGCAGGAGGCCAAGACTGTCAAAGCACACTGATTGTATCTGAAATCCACAGTAAACCATATGAATCATTATAACAGCTCAATTCAGCTCGATCAATATGAAGAATAATAGAACAAATAGTCAGGATAAATCAATTACCTGTGCCTTTGCAGAAACTTCACCAAGGTTACCCGCTACTGCAAAACTTCGATGAACAGCAGACTGCATATATATGCCATAAGAGAAAGGTCATTCTCACAACAATCTCATGAAAAATGGATAGCAAAAGTGAGGAAACTTTAGGGGGAAGAGTCCTTACACTAGTGGCCAAGTAACAGGCCAAGCTAATTTGTTTAGCAATATTAGCCACAGTAGCTAGAAGCAGGAAGTACTGTGGAAATACAGGGGTCAGCATCTCAACTCCAATACTCAGGCTGAACATAACCGATGTCGAGAACCTGACCCTCTACAATACAAACCAATTCAATAGAAAACAGGGCAAACCTCGATCAGAAAATTATAGAACTGGCAGCTTCAATCCTTCACAAGTTGCCATGCCTACATATTTATTAGTACCTTCAAATTCGTATCGAATGCAGATGCCAGGCTTGCGGTATAAATGCACCTACTTAGTCGACCAAGTCCGTCCTTCAATACCCAGTTGAAAGCAGCTGCTGATGGTAGTGATCGAGAAAACCCTATGCCTATAGCCCTAAACATGGCCTAGTACCAACCAACACACAAATAAATGGATATTGATCTCGCAAGCCATTTCATTTAACTTCAAACATCACAATTCAAGTGGGCAAATCAATAGAAAGCAGAACACGTTTCATTCAAGAACCCCAACCTAGCTTCCAAAACCCATCAAATTTAAAATTGACAGGCAATTAGAGACTTCTACCTGAGTGGCAAGAACCTGCAAAGCAGAGCTGAAAACCCTGTGCAAGAGCTTCCATTTCACATACTGCATGTAATTCTCAGTGACACGTTTGGGAATAAACACATTTCTCAGTGCTAACCCGGAAATCCGAAACAGTTGCCGGAATCCATCCTCGAAACACATAGCCGCCCCACCGCCGCCGCCATCAACGCTCTCCAAGTTCAAGCGGCTCCCATCCCATGTGTATCTGGAGACCCGACCCGATTTCCGGACCACCACGGGGAGCTTGGCAGGCGAAATTGGTCCTGTTTTCGGTCCGGGTTCCGGGGGACCGGTGTTGTCGACGCCTTCTTCGGGTCCATAGTTGATTGAGGTGGTGAGAGAGCGCGTCAAAGTCAAGGTTTTGGAGGGGGATTTGATGATGAGATTCAGAGAAATGGGTTTTCGGGGGAACTCATCGGATTTCCATGGTGGGAAGCAGAGCTGGCGGGAACTTGTTGAAGAGAATACCGCCGGTTGCATGAAAATTTTAAGCGACCCTCAAAGTAGAAGTCGTAAAATTTCCAACCCCGATTATTCTTAGCAGAGGGGTAGCGTTAATCTGTAGAGAATATAGGAAGAAAGCTGAAAGCAGAGCAAGTAGCAGAGGGCAAAGGCAAGAGGCTCTCTTTCGAACACGGAGGGAGGAGGCGATTGCGGCTGCGAAGATGGCAGCTATTTTGGGGTTTCCCCGTCTTCCTCCCCCTCCATTGAATCGTACGATGCCGTTTAGTATCTTCCAATCATGTTTTGACTTGTCACTTGTGAGTAGGGCGGTTAATGAGTCGAGCTATTCGTGAGCGGCTCGGTCTTGAACTCGATAAAAGTTCGTTCGATTAAAAAAAAGCTCGGTTCGTTAATAAACGAGTCGAGTTTGAGCTCTACCTTGTTCGGCTTGTGAAGCTCGTGAATTAGCTCGATTAGGTGGACAACTCATGAACTGTCTCGTTTTGAGCTTATGAGATGTCCCAACATTGTGACTAGAGAGACAACTCGATTACGGCTTATGAGAAAATCAATATATATTTTACTAGTCAGGGGCCCGGCCAGTTGGCCGGATACAATCGTGAATCGTGTTAGTTATAGGAGCAATTAGTATGCAAGATACGTGTTTATTTGGTAACATAATAAAATTTAAATTATTCAAATATTTGAAACCTTCAAATGGATTGGTAGTATAAGAGAATCCAAATTGTCTACTTGAACCATTCAAAAGGATCAACATTATAGTGTTTTCCTACATTCTAACATACGCATAGACTAAAATTTTGTAGAAAATGAAAGACAAACCTCATGCAAAGTACCCGAGTCCTACAAAAATTAAAATCACCATTTTATGTACTCCTCATTTTCAAAGATTACTGCATGTTTTCTTTAGACTTGTTTGTGTTTCCTTAACCATGAGTAACATCATCATCTCCCACTAATAAAATTGTCTTCATCTCCTTTGTGAAACATTTTTCTCCATTACCAATTGGCTCTTTTTTTTTTCCCTCTTGAATTTCAATAGTCTCTTCTTTGTTTTCCTCCACTTCTTTAGCACAATAATTTAAGTGTTAATAACTATGTCTAGCCTGAATTTTTCACATATTTAACATCTTGGCCAATCCTTTTGATATTTAACATTGTGGCCTGAACTAATCGTACACTTTACTATTTTGGCCAAACCCGAGAGTTGACCGTTAGTTTTGACGGTCAAGTCTGTTGACTAATGGTAAACTAATGCAGTCAAAAGCGTGATTCTATGTAGACGCGTTTTGGTGAACTGGAAACATAAGATCGTAAGTTTTTAAGTTCTAAAGCGTAGATTTTGACTACACTTATAAAGGAAAAGCGTGATTTTACGTAGAAGTGTTTTGGTGATATGGAAGTATAAGAACGTAAGTTTTAAGAGGTAAAGCGCAATTTTGGGTTTGGTTTGAAGGAGCATTAAAAACTTAAGTTTTTAAGCGTTAAAGAGTATAATTTTTTAATGGTTAAGTATGACAAATACAAATCATCTATTTTATTGTAGTAGAATTTACTTCGTCTAAAATAATCAACCACATCCATGATATTTTCTTGCTCCCCATCATCGTACTTATATATCTCTCATGAAAAATGTCTTCCTTTTTCTCAGTAGCACCATCATCTCTAGTATTGGATCCGTCACCTCGAACATTGGCAGTCCCATTCCTGTTCTCATGGATTACATTGTGAATTTAGATTATTGACATTCAAAAGCACAACGTATGATGGGGATTTGTCGAATTGTAAGTGAGTAATATATATTGGAGTAAAAACTGTCGGCGAATACAATTACATGCATGTTAGTGAGATATTAAATAAACTCGGTTGGAGTTTGAAGTTATAGACACCATGCATTTGCCTACAAACAAAAGAATAAAACTAAGTATCATTTGTGCATGGTATAAGAATTGATTGCTTTAAAAATGTAGATGTATACAATTGATAAGAGAATAGTTAGTGGATGATAGACGCAATCAAATGCATTACAAAATCAACATGAGAAAAGTAAATATGGTAGGTAGTTTAATTACATAATATTCCATGGGTGTATGTTACAAATACACTCTAAATCTAATAGGGAATAACATAACCTTGTAACTAATATGAATATCCATTTTCACGCAAGTAAAATTAACCTTGATTAAGTGAAGAAGATCATGTGCATTTTGCTCTTTCCTGTAAACCATGTACTCACTTTGGTTGGTTACTGGTTAGAGATGTGATAATCTGTGAGTTTGATGTCAAAATTCAACATCATCCCTCAATTTGTAGAATATGCTCATGTGAAAGTCCTCTCATTTTATCATTATATTGGAATAGCGTCTCAACAGATATTTCAAAAAATTGGGCTCCAACACGATTCATAACAACAAAGTCAGCCTCAATTTTATGTCCATAACTCAAAGTTGGATCCATAATTTGTCTACTAATAATGTCATACACAACCATAGAAATCGTCTTAAGTAAGGTAAATTTTAATTGGTGTTGTCAAATAATCCAAATTATTCAATTACTAATAGAAAAAAGTCATCATATTAAAGTACATTGTTAAAATTATCCACATAAACTTTAATAATTACTGATGCAAATTACAGGCACAGGGCAGAATAAGAATCACTTAGAATACTTAAACAGGTGAAGTATACTTTGTTAAGGGTCTTTTGTTAGTCACCTCATGTCGAACCATATTTCCTATGTATGTTATCTTTTCTACCGTAGCTTTAGTATGTTTTGTCAATTATTAAGAAAATATTATTTATTTTTGCATTGGTAGTAGAATCTAACTTTTAAAGTTAATTTTGTTGTATCCATAGCAAAGTAAATTTGAATTGAGATTAGCAATTCAAACATGAAAGAAATTTTTGTTGGCTACACTTTTTGTCAATCTCTATTGTTTGATGAAATTAAACATGTAAGCTGGTATGATTAGAATGTCTTTGCATGCTTTGACCTTGGTATTTGATTGAAACGTGATGACCAATTTGTTTGTAGTTGGCATGTAATCACCTATTTCCATGGAAATTACAGAAAATGTTAGCATTTGATAGGTAATGAGTCGTTAATCGAAACATATACTTACCTCTTCTCCCTCCTTACGTGTTAGCATTTGATTTGGCTTTGTACCGTTTTGATTTGGATGAGGTAATGAGGTCTTTCAGTGCTTTTCATTAGATAATGTGGTGCATCTATATCACTTTTTTCACGAAAAAAGAAAATAATCACTAATTCAAACATGAAGGAAATTTCCATTGGCTGTACTTTTTGTACTTTTTGTCAATCACTATTGTTCGATGAAATTAAACTTGTAACCCGATATGACTGGAATGTCTTTGCATGTTTCGACCTTGGTATTTGATTCAAACTTGATGAGCAATTTGTTTGTAATTGGCATGTAATCACCTGTTATCATATTGACCTTGAAGTTCTTGATAGTGTATACTCTATGTTGAAGAAACATATGTTGAAAATCCTTGATTTGCCCATTTGGGAATTTACACCCAAATATCATTACATTGAATAAAAATGTAGGCATATTAATAAAATGTGGGAATTAATTTTATCATTATCAAATATTAACTTTTACCAAAAATTTCTCTCACCCGCCTAAGTTCGTTAATTAATTCCCACCTGGCTTAAGTAGAGCTCCATTATAATTGTGTTTATTTATGCCGTAAGCCTGAAAACAATTAGAGGCTGATTATAAAATTAATAATAATTATATGGATTAAAGGAAAAGACCAAAGGGTCCTTCTGTTGTTTGCGCAGGTTACCGGAAAAAGAGAAATAAGTGGGTTGGGGAGAAGAATCTCCATATATGTTTTGGAGGATGAGTTAGTTTGTTAATGATGCATATAATTATTAAATTGTATATATCACCTCATATGATGTTTAATACATTGAGTATATGTAAGGAAATACGTCTCATATATGACATAACATTAGGTAATCACATGTATCACATATGACATATAAATATTAGGGTATTTATATTATAAATTATCTTAGAATTGAGCTCGAGCCGAACTTTCGATGTTAATGATGTGTTAAGATTTAGGGCTAATACCACTAGGAAACCCGAACTATGAAGAATGTGTCATTTGTGTCCTAAAGTATCCAATATGACATTTGTGTCCTCACGTATGATAGTTGTGTGTCATTTACGTTATGACAATTTCGTTGACCGTACCATAAAATGTTGACTGTTGGTTACATGGCACATATGTGGCAGCCACGTCAGCTGCCACATCAGGTTATTATTTTTAAATTAATTTAAATTAAAAATAAAAATTAATACCTTTTTCTTCATCTCAGATTCACCATCGCCGCTCAAATGGCGAACACACGATGGACAAGGGAAAGATTCTGTTCAATCTCGCTACGAAGAAGGAATTGGGGGTGGGAGATCAATGCAGCGGCGGCGACGGCTGGTGGCGATGAAGAAGAATTGGGGGGAGGAGATGGATGCAGAGGCGGCGGGTGTTTGCGAAGAAGAAGAATTGGTGGTGGGAGGTCGAACGAAATGCTACGTGGATGCTAGTAGGTCCATTGAGTGGACAAGCTTGCTTGAGCAAGCAACTGTCGGAATAATAGAAGCAAGCAGCTGGCCTGTGAAGTTCGTATCCAGAATTGCTATCTAGCATCTGAAATGGGAATGGAATCGGAAGTTGCGGACAGGGGGAAGCAAGCTCGTCAAGCTAGCAGGTCTGGAATTGGACATTAATTGGTGATGAATTAAATGGATAAGCTTTCACAAAGCTCAATCAAGCAAGCAAATTACGACCCTGTAATCCCGCTTCTCGCCCTCCCCGTCGGCGCTGCCCACTCCTTCTCCAGCACAGCTCCTCCTCCTCCTCCTCCTGCTCCCCTTGCGCTCCTCCCTCCGCCAGAGTGAGAACAACCTCGCTCCTCCCTCCGCCAATTCCAAATCGACGAAGCTAGTGGGAGACCCTTCTGCATCCTCTGTGAAAACAACAATACAATCAACAGGCCCTTCCCGGACTCAGAGACCCGTCGGACAACATTGGTGTTGAAGAGACGGGAGGAAGATGGAGTGACGGCTCCCATCTGGCGATGAAGGCTGGGGAAGATGTATGTGGCTGACGGAGGTCGGGAAACCTTCCAAATCGCCGACGAGGAGGAGGAGGAGGAGGAGGAGGGAAGCTCGTACCCCTTCCAAATCTCTGACCCT